TTTTTGCAATATCAAAGTTACAACTTCTACCTACAATAAGTTACAAAGTTCATTTCCGCCGAACGAACTGAACGATAAGATCTCCTTTCCCGGTTCCTCGCATCGTTCCTTCTTCCTTGCCTTTCTTTTTGATTTATAAATCATATATCTTATATTATTTCCAGTTTATTGGCTCTGTATATATTGGCCCCCTTTTTATTACCACAATCAAAATTTAAAAAATAAGCAAAACAATAAACAAAAAATAATAATAATAAAAAAGGAAAATGAATTCACATTATGAAGATGTGCAGCGGCAGCACATCAGTGAAAGAGAAACATTCTTACACATTTTTTTTTATCAGTGTTTTCATCAAATGGCATATCCACAATGTTTCTTCCCACACATAGCAAGAACTAGACATAGCCAAGATTAAACCAGAAATGTTTATACAAAATAGGTACGTTTTGTTATTTTTTTTTTTTTCCCCTTCGAGATCGTGAAAATATGACAAGAGATTCAGTCAATAAAATGAAATTGTTCATGACGAAGTCGCTTGCATGTCAATTTCGAATAAACTCTTTGAAACAAAGTGTCTTTTTCCTCTGAATAACAGAATTAGTTGCTGATTAACTTCATGACGAATGACGACTTCGAGGAGGATCCTCCGTATAACGTACTACGCTTCGTCCCAGTGAGGAGGCGGCTGCTTTACAAGGGAAGGGAGTGCAATTTACATGGGTGGGACCACCAGTCCGGACATAGCTGAAAGAGAAAGAGAAACAATTTTAGCACGGGAGGTCTCGAGACGCCGCACAGAAGACAAAAAGGAACACAGCAGTAAGTATGTCACTCGCATTTCACAAAATACTCGACTCGAAAGGCGCTGGGGATGTTTGTAAAATGGAGGCTGTTGCTGTCGGGGACCGACGGGGGAGGGTTGGGAGTGATTGAGTGAAATGTGCTTCACCAACAAGACGTGCTGGAAAGACTTCACTTTTTGAAAGAGGAGCTTTCTGACATTTTGAGGAGAAAGCATCCTGGCTCCCACATGTGTGATATTTCTCTTAGCGTTTTGTTAATGGCAAACAGTGGGCCAGACTCCCAGGAGAGGGTCCCTGCTGACAGCCGTGAAACAACACGGTCACTTCTGCTAACGTCACGTAGACCCGCGGTCTCCCCTCCTCAGTCAGCAACCAGACACCCCTCGGCTTTGCCCAAATTGAAATCTTCGCCCCGCTCCCTCCTGCCATTACCAGAGCCGAGTGGATGCTGGAAAACCATTTGCATTCTCCTGTCAGCCCGTATTCCCACCCCCCAATCTCTCCTTATTGTGACATCTAAAGAAGGCCGGACTAGGTCGTCGTACGCCCACTTCTCGGGCCGCCTGAATGCAGAGATTGATGTACTCGCTCATTTCCGCAATTAGGTGTCTAGTGAAGTGCCAGGGGAGGGCAAATGGGAAGAAAGCTCTTTTGCCGCTTTCGACTTATTTGTAGAGTCATGCTTGGAGTGCTTTTAAGTTTGCCAAGGCATCTGATGTTGTGGCATTCCTCATTAATTTCTGCAAACCACATATTAATAAGTAGATGCATGTAGCGGCATGAACTTTAATTTCTCAGTTCATTAGGTCTAACATTATTAATCTCGCTTGCACACGCTATGGCTAAAACATGTTTTCAAAGCAAACAACTGGGCCTTGACGAAGAGCAAATACGAGCGCACTAAACAGCCAGAGTAAGTCTTTAATTTGCCGAACGATGCCGCCCTGCCGAGAATACGGTGAGCTCCTTCCCTCTCGCTCTTTCTTCTTATAATCACATTCAACCTGGGTTATAATCACTTCTTCTGCAGTTAAGTTCCTCTCTGGCGATGTTATTCGATGTTGGATGAGCGAGCACGGCGAGGCGTTAACATTTCTGCCCTTTTGAATCCATCGTTCGTGCTACTATTGTAGGAAACATGCATTTTTAACACACTACAGTATTTAGAGGACGACAGGGTTGTGTACCGCCAGTGTAACGAGAATGTGGCATACGTTGAGCTCAGTTTGAATGCAAAAGAGCCAGTGAATAATGGAGTAGTTGAGTCGATTTTATTTGTGCAAGATGTTTCCAAATTATAGCGATCCCAGCCACTCGAGTATGAAATCTCATGAGACACTTAACTTTGCTTAATCATTAATGAAAGATAAATAAATCAATAAACACACCCACACATGCACATGCATTCTACATGCCCGCATGCATAATGCGTTCTTGCACTTATCCGACCACTCATCCGTCCATCCATCCGCCCATCCACGCGCAAATGCATAATTGAAGCGGGCGGGAGGCCGTGTTTGTTAAGCGGCGGTGGGGATGGCGGATGGGTGGCGTCTGGGTACCAGAGTGCAATAATGCGACCCAACAGGTGAGGCAACTGCGGGGCGTTCTAAAAGCAGGGTGTCGGCTCTCACCTTGAAGTCCATTGCCATTTGCACTGGTGCAAGAAGGAGGTGGAGATGCTTGGGGCCTGACAACTGGAGCAAAGGCGCTTTTTTGTTTCACTGCAGAGATGACATTGGCAGGTGAGAATGAGAAAATGCCGTGTGTACTGCTACAGTTTGAAGAGAGGCTGACCGAAGAGGCTGCCATGGTAGGGCTCGACGGAACTACTGCAACAAAGCAGACATAGTCACCACTCAGAGAGAGTTCACTTCTTACAGACGAAGAGTCAAGAGAGCCGGGCCTCGCCTCCTTTTCAAATCATATTCATGGAATGAAAACAAATCAGGGAGAAATGGTCATGAGGATATGGGGAAAATTTGGGTTGCGGGTCTTTTTTGGGGGGACCAAAACAAACAATAATTTCTCAGTTCATTAGGTCTAACATTATTAATCTCGCTTGCACACGCTATGGCTAAAACATGTTTTCAAAGCAAACAACTGGGCCTTGACGAAGAGCAAATACGAGCGCACTAAACAGCCAGAGTAAGTCTTTAATTTGCCGAACGATGCCGCCCTGCCGAGAATACCGTGAGCTCTTTCCCTCTCGCTCTTTCTTCTTATAATCACATTCAACCTGGGTTATAATCACTTCTTCTGCAGTTAAGTTCCTCTCTGGCGATGTTATTCGATGTTGGATGAGCGAGCACGGCGAGGCGTTAACATTTCTGCCCTTTTGAATCCATCGTTCGTGCTACTATTGTAGGAAACATGCATTTTTAACACACTACAGTATTTAGAGGACGACAGGGTTGTGTACCGCCAGTGTAACGAGAATGTGGCATACGTTGAGCTCAGTTTGAATGCAAAAGAGCCAGTGAATAATGGAGTAGTTGAGTCGATTTTATTTGTGCAAGATGTTTCCAAATTATAGCGATCCCAGCCACTCGAGTATGAAATCTCATGAGACACTTAACTTTGCTTAATCATTAATGAAAGATAAATAAATCAATAAACACACCCACACATGCACATGCATTCTACATGCCCGCATGCATAATGCGTTCTTGCACTTATCCGACCACTCATCCGTCCATCCATCCGCCCATCCACGCGCAAATGCATAATTGAAGCGGGCGGGAGGCCGTGTTTGTTAAGCGGCGGTGGGGATGGCGGATGGGTGGCGTCTGGGTACCAGAGTGCAATAATGCGACCCAACAGGTGAGGCAACTGCGGGGCGTTCTAAAAGCAGGGTGTCGGCTCTCACCTTGAAGTCCATTGCCATTTGCACTGGTGCAAGAAGGAGGTGGAGATGCTTGGGGCCTGACAACTGGAGCAAAGGCGCTTTTTTGTTTCACTGCAGAGATGACATTGGCAGGTGAGAATGAGAAAATGCCGTGTGTACTGCTACAGTTTGAAGAGAGGCTGACCGAAGAGGCTGCCATGGTAGGGCTCGACGGAACTACTGCAACAAAGCAGACATAGTCACCACTCAGAGAGAGTTCACTTCTTACAGACGAAGAGTCAAGAGAGCCGGGCCTCGCCTCCTTTTCAAATCATATTCATGGAATGAAAACAAATCAGGGAGAAATGGTCATGAGGATATGGGGAAAATTTGGGTTGCGGGTCTTTTTTGGGGGGACCAAAACAAACAAGCAAATCATCAGGTAAATGGAGTTGGAATGGGATATGAGATGTCCTGCCTTGGCCACTTTCTGGATAATAGGCGTTCTTATCGACTCTGACTGGGTCATTTTGCCGAAAACATTTGTTTTTTTAAAGATTTTGAGTGCTGTTTTGCTGGCCTGCTTTATAATTGCAATTGGATTTGCTTTTCAATCGGCTGCTTTGATTGGTCGGATTTGCTAAATGTCTCGGTTGTTCAGCCTCCAGAGTCACCCCTCCTTTTATCCAGTAGCACACATTCCCAAAAGATAACAAAACAAACCAACAAACAACCAACAGAACGACAACAGAGGAGTGTCAAAAGGAAAGGGAAGCACAGGTGGAGGACAGAGAGAGCGGGGGGCTCGTCATTACCTTGATACTTACTGCCGTAGGGAGAGTTTGCAGAGGAACCGTTCAAGAAGCCCGGTGAACTGGGCACGCCCAAGTTGGGCATTCCCGTGTTGCCATAGCCGTTCATGCTGTTGCTGACGGTGTTGTAGTTGGACTGCTGCGGGGTGCTGCTGGGCACGTAACCGCGAGGCGACACGCTGCTCGTGTTGCGACTGTAGCCCACTGCGGACAGAAAGACAAGGGTCAAAATCTGCCACAATTTTCGCAATCTACATAATTCTTGAGATAGGTGCCACAATTTTCGCAATCTACATAATTCTTGAGATAGGTGCCATCACCTGTTTCAATGTTTTTTAAGGCTATTTATTAGCATATACATACATATCAAATGTAAATTATTTGAAAATAGTTCCTATAGTCATGCCACGCCTTCGGAATTTTTTGTAAGATTTTTTTTTCCTGAACGATTTGCACAGTAATACATTCTGCTTGTTTCATGAGTATGGCCCAATGTGCTAAATTCACCTCCATGTATGAAAGGAGGATATTCAGCATCCTAGCGTGTATTCCGGTGTGATTTTTCCCTGTCCTGACCTGAGTGGAGGCAACAATGGAACAGGTGTAAACCTATTATTGGTACACTGGCTAAATGCAGTCTGTGAGATAGCGTTGCGTGTCCTGGCAGGCTTGCAGCGGAGAGATGGGGACAGGGTCAGACACCTCCTGGGATCTATGCTATACACAGCCAGGAAAGATAAAGCTGCAGCCGGCCTGTGCCATGATTCATGCTGCTAGCAGCTCGCTAATGTTCGCTAATCGTTGCAAGCATTTTTGTCTAGAAACGTATATAACTCATTTTGATATTCGCAGATGAATAACTAAAGTGGTTAGTAGGTTCTCCTGCCTGGCTGTGCTGGTTAGGCTGTCGTGTTGGATAGTTTTTCAGAAGCTTTGGTGGTTATCTCTCAGACTGACAAGCCTCCAGTTTGGCCAGCAAACCACCTTATTCTGGATTAAGCTTTTTTCTGCAGGGTTCATTGTAATCTACATGCTAATCTTCATGCCACATACCTTGTGAGGTCTCTGAGACGTTGACGGCGAGCTGACCGCCGAAAGAGTTGACTCCCATCATTCCGCCGTGAGAGGCCGTGTTGGCGAGGGACGGGATCTGGTTGTGGTTACGTGGGACGCTGTACAGAGCCTCTGCGATATCTGCGGCCCTCTTCAGGATGATCTCCTACCACACAGAAATAGAGAAAGGAGAGTTATCAGTACGTTCTCAAAGGAACTTGAGGCCAGAGATCTGAAATGATTATACACTTATGTGTAAATGCATGTAAAACATTTATATAAAATGGCATGTAAATTAAAGCAATCAAAATACTTAAGAGTAAATAAAAAAAAAAATGTCTTCTTGTGTTTGGACCGCTCTGTAGAATATATTCCAGAAGTGCACCTTTTAGGGCCAAGTTCAAGGTTATCCTCCCATTTAAATAAGCCTGTATATGGTTGTGTGAGTGTGTTTTGAGTGATTAACTTGTCACTTTGCACCAAGAGCCGCAGCCAGCAATTATATTGCGAAAAAGCAGAAGAAGAAGAAGAAGAAAACACAAGCTTTCACCCGGCTACAGTACAAAGGCCCCAGCTAGCTTTGAAACATACAGGAATGTAGCAAAAGGAGACAAATGCTGACTTAATTACAGCCACCGTGCAAAGGAAGAGAAAAGGTGCTTCATTAGCAGTAGTTTGTACCTGGTTGTTGTGTGGCATCCCGTACAGCGCTTCCACAAGGTCAGCGGCTCTCTTTAGCAACACCTCCTGCAATATACACCCAGAATGCAACATAATCAGTCATATAGACACCATCAGCCAGTACATTTTTTTCTGCAGGGTTCATTGTAATCTACATGCTAATCTTCATGCCACATACCTTGTGAGGTCTCTGAGACGTTGACGGCGAGCTGACCGCCGAAAGAGTTGACTCCCATCATTCCGCCGTGAGAGGCCGTGTTGGCGAGGGACGGGATCTGGTTGTGGTTACGTGGGACGCTGTACAGAGCCTCTGCGATATCTGCGGCCCTCTTCAGGATGATCTCCTACCACACAGAAATAGAGAAAGGAGAGTTATCAGTACGTTCTCAAAGGAACTTGAGGCCAGAGATCTGAAATGATTATACACTTATGTGTAAATGCATGTAAAACATTTATATAAAATGGCATGTAAATTAAAGCAATCAAAATACTTAAGAGTAAATAAAAAAAAAAATGTCTTCTTGTGTTTCATGAATGAGTACAATTGGCATACATTTTGGCACTTTATATATACATATATATATATATATATATATATATAGCAGTAGTTTGTACCTGGTTGTTGTGTGGCATCCCGTACAGCGCTTCCACAAGGTCAGCGGCTCTCTTTAGCAACACCTCCTGCAATATACACCCAGAATGCAACATAATCAGTCATATAGACACCATCAGCCAGTACATTGCACATGAACAATACGCGTGCATGTGGATCCGGGTACATTATAAGCTCTTTATCTCTGGTTGGGAAAAAATACAGAAGCTGACGAGTGGAAATAAAACATTTTTAATTATATATTATCAAATGCATTCTTTTATGTCTTAGTCACATTTCATTTGACTTAGTTAAACTAGTGAAGCGGTGTGTAACTTAAGCTAAATGAGTCAACATAAGGACTTGCATTTCAACGACGTGGCCTTGTGGGTATTAAACAAACAAACACTAGCACGCCGCACCGAGTCAAACACAGACGCCACGTTCGCCTGCTAATTCTGCGCACTTTAGCTCAGGAGAACAATGAGTCATTTTCCATATCTTAATTAAACTGGCAGAGTCCTCAAAGACAACATCTCACCCCTAATTCATGCCCCAAATTTGCAGAAGAGTTCAATGCCCATTCCTCTTTCTTCAGGACAATAAAGTGAATTAGCTCGGGTTAATCTAGTTCTTTCATAATGACATTAGGAAATTTTTCAATTAACCCTCTTTCTCTGGCTGTTGTAAAGGACTTCATAAACGACTTCCCCTCCAGAGTGGGCTGAGAGGCTGTGCCCTGGGACACGGACGTCGGGAACTCTCGCTTATCCCCATCTGCAAGCTTTCCCCCGACTTATAACACAACAAGGATTAACCCGCCGCTTATTTTCCCTTCAAAAATTACACCTAAGCTGCCAACGAGGTGTGTGCGGCAGGATCTCCAAAGCGTTTTGCATGGGCTGCCGCTTGTTTTTCTCTTCCAAGAGCTACTTTTTGGGAATTTTTATAATATTGTTGTTGCATTTTAGCATGTCTTGAACTTGCTGACTTACTTTTTATCGATTTGCAGGTGACGTTTGAGTGTAACCACGGCGTTGTCCTTGTGAGTGCAAAGCCCGGAGCGCCTTCATCACGGCTTGATGGCTATTTCATTCCCATGCACAAGCGCCATGTTGGATTCATATTTATCAAGATTAATCACAGGCCCGTGCGTTTTATAGAGACACACTCCAAACCTGAGCCTAACCGGATGACTGCTTCTTCAAATGGGCATTTACCTTGGAAATTGGGGGCTGCGTTTCATGTTACATGCGTCTAGTTTGCATACAAATAAAGAATCACACTTGTCATTCAGCAGGTAGTGTCAATGAAAGGCCCAGCTGTCTTAGTCCGGCTCTCGGCTCTCTCTAAGCAAGATTAAGTGTTTTTCTGAGCCGCTAATAATTACTCATCATATCACAAGACGTCTTACATGCCTCCCAATTTCACCTGACGATTATCGCAATTAACGTCGCTGAAACCTCACCGCAGCCGACACCTACTTGAACTTCTCGTCCATATGGCGGCCGAGAGGAGGAGGAGACGTAAGGATAGTTTAAGAAAATGATGCATACTCTCAACTCTAATCTGTCATTTGCCATGAGGTGTGTTTCCTAATGAACCGGATTTTGCAGCGCGCATTGAAGTGGGAGTCTATGCGTGTCAAACGCGCCGGCCAATCGGCGAAGGAGGCTGTGAATGAGTATGTTATGTTCCAGCATGCCCCTCTCATCTTCGCGGCCTCATGCTGAGAATATGATTAGCGGTGAGCGGTGTTCGAAAAGCATTTCCATGTAAATTTCAGAGCGGCGGCATTAAGTGTAATTGACTCCTCTTCTTTTTCCACATCGAGACGAGATTCCAGGTTAGACCGGGAACTATTTAAGCCCGAAACGATCCCAGGGCTTGTTTCAAGACTCCAGGTTAGACTGGGAACTATTTAAGCCTGAAACGATCCCAGGGCTTGTTTCGTGACAAATGCGAGGGCTTATTATTACAAGAGCTCATTGTTCCGCTGGTGGACGAGAATCGTTTAAATGGAAAACTTGTTATTATCACTCTTGAATATCGTGAGTGGTATATATCCCCACTGTTAAAGAAGCCAAGTGAGGTGAGGGGCTGGAGGTGCTAATATCATTATAAAAGTGTAAAGCAATTATTCTGTTAGTTCTTGCCTGAGGTGATGAACACATTGAGAAGTGCGGGACCAATACGTGTAGCCACCTCGCTACAGACAGAAGATGAATTTTAATGCATGGGTAATTGCTCAACATGAATGCATTTCTAATCATTTTTCTTGGATATTAGATTGAACGGGAAGCGGAATAGATTGGTGTTTGCGAGCTGAAACAGGACGCAAAGAGGCTAATGGAACCGATGAATGTGAGAATACGGCCGACAGGTTACTACTATATGATTCACAATAAAGATTATTTGATGGCACGTAAAGCGATTGTATAGAGTCTGATCAGATTTTCATTCCAGTGTTTGTCTCATCCTTATATCGAGACAAATGGATGACACTGATTTCAAACAAGGACTTAAAAGAAAGAGGATTGGAAGGTCCCTTTAGCAATCTCCTGTCTCATCACATGAGTGACTTCACATATTGCTTTTTACTCTCTCTTGCCGTCTTCGTATATAAATGCGTTCATTGGACGCCCCTCCACTTGGATCGAGCAGCAAATTTTGATTTGATCTAAAATTAGGGAGGTAAACTGCAATTCCGAGCAACTTGTAGTATGAATATGTTAGGGATTTCAAAAGTATTGGTACAATAAGAAAGCAAAATAATTGAGAAATACTTGAATTTGTAATGTTAATATTTAGCAGTTGCATGTCCAAAGTAATAAATGCACGCCATATTGGCTTTCTGTCCAGCTACGATTTCCCATCAGACCTTGTGCATTGTAGATCCCTGCCTGAAAAGGAGGAAGGAAAAGGAAGAAAAAAAAAACATCCAGGAATCGATATCAGGGGCATATTATCAACTCTACAGCGGAGACGAGCGGGCGAGCACGAGTGTGACGGCTTTACCTTATTGCTAACACACTGTGTACGTCCCTCCCCCCGAAACCTCTTATTACAGCGGTCTGTCTCCTGCCCGTAACATCTAATGCAGCCGCTCCTCCCAGACGCTCTGCCTCTTATTGAGAATATGTGTAAGGGTCAATTGCTGCTTTGCGTGGAGCTGGCTTTGACCCTCGAACGCGATAGAGGTGCAGACGGCTGCGGTAACTATGATGAATCACTTGGCACTTTCATTTACATGCTGCTGAACTCACATTTGGGTCCATTAGAGGCCAAAATCAAATATTTATGTTGTTTATTGGAACTGCTCTGGTGTGATGTCCCTGTGATGAGGGTTTACCTGAATTTGAGATGAGTGAAATTGCATGCACTTGAGGAAAAAAAAAAAAAATTCTGTTATTTTTTTGTTACTGATGCTGATTTCTCTTCTTTTAATAAAATATGCAATAACAAAAAAATACAATGACAACAAAAATAAAGTAAAGTAAATAAATACATTTAATATATTTTTCCAGCTTCAGAAGTGCTCAAGCAGAGTGGCTTTATTTATTTTTTTATTATTATTATTATTTATTTTTATTTTTTATTTTTTTGATAATGGATAGTTTAAAGCATTTACTGGAATGAGATTTCCTGTCCAGATATTGGCCTCCACAGAGACAGAGAGCCAAGTGTAATTGAAACACATCATGTGGCGCAGGGCAAAGTCTTATGGGTTCTTAGTTTGGTGTGTATCCGCGGGACGCTAGCGCTGAGACAACGCCATTCCAGAGCTGTTCAGAGGAAGTTAATGATAGCAGCTGCTCCCATGCTGTGCTTTAATAGATATTTGTATGATATCTGTTATTAGGCCTCCGTGGTGGTCAGCTCGTGCCGAGCACCCACGAACAGGGTACAAAATAATCTCTTAACATATTATTAAGAAAAGCCCTCGGCGCTGCGCCGCTCTCAGATGGGAAATTAGCACGTTTTCTATTAGCCGGGCACAAGTCATAGATTCTATCAAAGCTAAATGAGCAAAAAAAAAAGAGGGACAAATCAAAGAATAGGAAATAGAAAAGGTCCGACAGGCATGCTTTGTCTTTCATGTCACACATCAAAACAACAGAACTGTGATACGTGTCGACCACATGGGAACTGCAGGCAAACTGCATGGTTTGTGGAATTTAAGTGGGGAAAAAAACAAATAAATGAAGCTAAAAAGCCCAGAGAGAGGGCTTGCCCATATTAACGTGCGCAAAACTCATTTATTAACCTGCTAAGACAAGGACTTTTAACGGAAAGCTCTGTAAACAAAAGATTAAACTGGATCTAGATTTGGAAAATGAAAGGAAAACAAGACCAAAATAATCACACATCTGAAAAAGGCCTCTGCTTAGATTACAATCGCCACTGCCTACTGGGGTGGAAAAATACTTAATTGAACCATTTCGACGTGCCGAAAGTTTGCGCGATTCCAGCGGAATCCAAACACGCCGGATTGCATAGTGATGACTTGCCAAAAGTGATTGCATTCGCTTGCTCATCTAGCCAGTGAATTGTTTCCCGTTTTGACAATTCTATGAGAAATAGCTCTTTCACACACACGCACACACAAACACAGAATCACTAACCTTGGGCAACCTCTCAGGATCACCTGGATGTCTGGGAATGACCTTCTGCAGTCTCTGGAAGCCATAGTCAATAGTTGGTTCGTTCAAAGCTAAACCGCAAAACAAGAAAACGCCATCAGTTAGCATCCTGCGCAGGCAAAACAAATGAACAGATTTGTGTTTTCATCATAAATGTTATTACATTCGCTCTTGAGAATGTATGCACCCATTATGCATTTTATTCCAGATAGGTCTGAGCATTTGAATAAAAGGTAATAACATGCTGTGCAATACTCCGTCAGAGTCACATCTATCACCTCTCCTATTTGGAAGAACGAGGCCTATAATTGATCAGATAAATTTGAAGGAGTTAGCGGATACATTATGAATGAAACAGGCAGGCTCATACAAACTCTCACACACACACTCGATTGCGACTGTCAACCCTGTGAAGTCTGCATCAGTCCTGCTTCCTGAAGCACCCGCTGGATTTATGGGCAACGGGCAATGATGACATATGTCTGGCTATTGCGCCCCTTCAGATTTATCCCTCTTTCTCGCACTCTCTCTGCCATCGTGCGCTAAAGCAAAGCAGGCAGGAGGAACACTTCATCTTATGGAGCTTTAATAATCTGTGAATGGTTGACTACAAACTGATGTAGGGCGCTATCATTTCACAGCTGTGCCGGGGCTGGCCTCATGAAATTGCTGGCCACAAATAGTAATTAATCTTTTCTTTCACACACACACACATGCAGCACACACACCTTCCCTCCCTCTCAAATTGGAATTTTGAGTATGAAGTGCCCCGGTTATAAATCAGACAGAGCTGCTCCGTATACAAGTGCATGAATCATAATCTCAACTTCCCGCTACCGCATGCATTGTGTTTAACAAGCTTTAGAAGAGTGCATGGAGGTCTATTACGGTCACACTAGACTTTAAGCATGGGAAGTTATTTTCAACAAATATGAAATAGGTTGCACTCTAGGAAGTTTTTTTTTTGCATTAAATATGTTTACATTTTTGAAGAAAAAGTGAGCAAAAAATAGTCAACACAATGCTAACATTGTTTAGGTGGTTGTCAAAGTGTTGCGATGCAGATGGCTTTTAAAGTTGACATAAAAAAAAAAACGTATCACTTATAAGCTTGTAAGCACAACCTTAATTAATAAGATAAATGACTTGCAGTATCCTCGTCCATAACACAAACGTGAGTGTAAAAGTGTGAAATTTCTGTCACTAACATCAACAAACAGAAATGCACAAATAATAATTATTGATTTCAAACAGGTTTCCTGAACACTAATCTGCCACTGGCCAGACATAGAGATAGCCCCGCCCCCAAATGCATACCATTGGTTGAGTGGAACATAAAAATGATACAGAAGGAAGAAAAGATCACAAGAGGAAAGCAAGCAGAACATCAGCATAAAAATATTATCAGACATGAATGTAGATGTCGTCGTCAGTGATGAGGCCGTATGAATCAATGTGCTTTTTCTTTTGAGAGATCAAATCTGTCTGTTCCCCTTATTCAGCACGCGGTTTGCCGCTGAACTCTGCTCTGATGGAAACGGGGAGAAACACAAGAACGAACTAAAGCAGAGAATGAGAGATGACAGCCTGAGAGGAGAAGATGAGCATATTAGACAGGAACTTCCTAGAAATAATTGGGTGACTTTATGATGAAGTGCTACAATTACATCTAAGTGTAGTAGGGGGCGGCAATCCAATCAATCCGATCTGATCAATATCAAGACGGCGCTTATGTTTTGGTACACACGTATGCGTGTCATCATGTGACAGCGGTGATGCTATTTGACATGCCATCTTGCATGGATGAAGACAAAGTAGCGTGCAGGAATCCGAAGTAAGATGTCGGCTTGTTAATAAAGCATTGATCGGGTGTATTGATTTTACATGACATGGCTTTCACAAGGATGTAGCTCTCTCACGCACACCTTCACCTCCCCCTTTCCTTCTCCTCTCGCCTGTCGTTCCTAGACGGACACCCTCCACCTCTCCGAGATGTAAATGTTTGTATTAGCACTTCATTATGCCTGAATTTGCCCATATGAGGGTATCCATCATTTTGGCCCATTTTTTTATGTCTGGAGCCTGGAACTACACAAATGAATCATGCACTTTGACACTAGCCCTTCAGGATGTGTATTTGCCCTGGGTCACATAATAAAAGTACCCGGTGACATTAAATATGGCCCAAAAGTGGGCAGATTTAGAGCCGTTCTGATGGCATCCTCTGAGATCCTCCACCTCAAACACACCAGGAATTATTAACTACAGCTAGGTGAAAAACACACTGATTTATATGGGAACCACAATTTCTTGTAAAATACCATAGCATAATTGCAAAAGCATTGATTTTAGCCATATAGTGTGTCATAAAAAAATAATAACATTTTAGCAAAATACCATAACTAAAAATAATAAAATTCTAGCAAAATACTATAATATAACTATAATACAACTGATTGGCAATAAATAAATAAATAAACAGACCGTAAATGTCAATCACAGTATCTAGAAAAATATCATAGTATAAATGCAATACAACTTGATATAAGCAAATTAGTTATTTTTTAAAATTATCTTAAATTTTATCTTTAAAATGTATATTTTAAAATACCATAACATAAACAAAATGACATATTAAATTTGTATTAAATAATAATATAATAAATAAATCAATAAATCAATTAAAAAAAGAAATTCATATTTTCTAGCAAAATACCATAACTACAATAAAACTTTGATTAGTATAAATAAATAAATAAATAAATAAATAAATAAATAAGTCATACAAATTCATATAAAATCATAGTATCTACCAAAAAAACCCCAAAAAAATCAGAAAATGAAAATTAATTTACTAATTAATTAAAATTAATCCTTAAAAAAAAATCCCCCCAGTAGCAACAACATCTACATTTTGCATTGCTAGGGTTTTCTGGGTGGTTGTTAGGTGGTTACTTACTGATCCAAGTAATAAAACATCAACCCTGAAAATATTCTGATCTCTAGATATGGCTCAATGTAAATCTATTGGATTTTTTACACCCATTTTATCACCCACCAAGTGAAAACCAAAAGCCTGATCACTTTGTGTAAAGTAATACACGATTTAAGGTTTCTGTAGCACAAATGGTGCACTTAGCAAACATCACTAATAATTCTAGTAGCCATGTTATGTTTTGTGGAAACTGTGGTTACCATGCTAAAAAAAAATTATAAGGGGAGTACTGCTGCGATTACGAACACATAAAATTGATAAAAATGACAGAGAAGTGAATGGAAGGAGAAACAGATGTGGTTTTGGTGTGTGTGTGGGAAGGGGGGTATTAGTGCTACTGGGCCAGCTGGGAAATATGGAGAACAGATTGAGTTTAAATCCAGACAGACTCCTTGCAAGCATCTTGCTTCTCCTGCACTCTCACGTCGTTGAAGAATAAAACTATTTTTCTCGTTCACAACCTACACACTCTCTATCTCTATATCTTTCAGCCCAGGCCTGAGGCTAAGCCCCTCCCACTGGCCTTTGAGCCGGCCCCCCAGCCTCGGGCCCGGCAAATCAATAGCACTTTCCTGTTTTAGAGCTGGGTAATTATGAGGTGGGGAGAGTAGGTGACCTTTCACCTGTTCCGTATTACTTTGCTGATATTAAGATAAATTGCCCGATTTTGGGTAAACATATGCTGCAATTCAGGCTGTCAGCGCCGGTTTGCTCAGGGATAATTTGTATTGATCTCTCCGTTTCTTCCCAATTCTGCTTACTGACCTCACGGATAATGAGAGAGAGAGAGAGAGTGTAAGTGCTGGATATGGCTGTAGTCACCACTGCTTTTCACCGCATGTGTGTGTGTGTGTGTGTGTGTGTGTGTGTGTGTGTGTGTGTGAGTATCTGGAAGCCTGGTGTATGTCAGGGCAGAGTGTTTTGCTTACGTCTTGATTTGTTATCCATTTTCTGTTTGTTTGTTCTATCCATCCAGAATGGCAAGAGGGGGGCCGAAAGCCATTTAGCACTCAAGCATAACTGAGCACGTTAAATCAAATCAGGCTCACATCTCGTACGGGGCCGTTATGAATTATGGAGCCGCTCGTATAAAAGGGAAATGTGCTTGCTAATGAGCTAGCATGCTTTTCGGGCCGCCTCGCGCCCGAACGAGTGGAGTGAATGAACAGAAGGGTTTGCGTTTGATGGATGACAAATCTAAAGCTCCTTGGGCTGGTCATCATGTTTAGTTGTATTTTTTCACCCCTCATTTGTAAAAGAGAATGTTAAGCACAATCTGCCAGGGACTTAACGTTAAACAGCCTCTGATTTTACGTCCAGAGAGAGTCTGTGTGTGTCTACATGTCGCCTGCTCGTGCGTGTGTGTGTGTGTGTGTTTGTGCGTGCGTGTCTCCATATATTTCAAGATTGAGTGTTTTGACCTTGTTCTCGCAGACTGTATATATTGTCATTCTTCAAAACTGACACGCTAGAGTGCGGCAGATACTAAACTGTGACACGTTTTTATTTAGCAATAAAGGGGAAACGCAAGACATTTTAAAACGGAGCGAGATCTGGAATAGTGCTGCCCATCTCTGGATTGGCTGACTGTTGTCATCACGCGCTGCGAAAACAAAAACATAGAAAGGAAATGTCTTTTAACGCGGATTGCCCATTGTTCCACAGCTGAGCGACAGAGACATGCATGAAACAGAAAAAAATGAAAGCGGAAAAGCATCAAAGGCCAAAAAGAGTTTTTGAGTTTAATGCAGCATAATAAAAACAGGAAAACATTCATTTGTTCCAGCACAGCTGCTGGATTTCGCTCTAAATTAGGTCAGTTTTCATCGCAATTATGATCATCAACTGCCAGACCAAGAGATGCAGTAATAATTCAGTTACTTTTCTTTAGTGAAAACAGACCACCTTCATAATTAGGATTTCTTTGAACAGACCTGAAATATAATCTAAGAGAAGGACCAAAGCATGTTTTGCTCTTAACAAGAGAGAGAGAGAAATGCTAGCAGCTGAGAAACGCTTCTTGTAAAGTGTATATAGAATAAAATGTAATCTATCTATTTATCTATCTATAAACCT